GAACTCAAGACTCTTTGGTCTGGATTGTTGACTTAAAAAACTGCAATCACAAATAGTTAAAGTTTTACTAAACAAAGAAAAATTGTATTAATTTTTTTAAGAGAAAATGCTAATGAATATCAACAAACCTATTATACTAATAATACTCCTACTACTAATGCAGTAAATAATTAGACAGTTACAAAAACTGTTTTTCTGATTCAATTTTGTAACTAATATTAGAAAAACAAATGAATTAGAGATTTAAATGAACTAAAACAACTTTTAAATAAATCTGTTAAAACTTATTATAATTGATTTAAAGAATTATTTAACAAATAACTAATAATACTCTAAATGATATCTAAAAGTTATATTACTTTAATAAAAAACTCTATTCAGAAACCTTTTTGTTTACATACTGTATTATATATAGCATATCACCCATATTAGCTAATTTTGATAATATTTAAGTGCCTTATAATCATCTTTTTCAAATTCTATTCTATTTATATAACAAAAACCAATTTGATTTATTGCAGAAGCATCTTTATACTTGACTTTCATGATACTAATTCTATATCAGCTAATTTTTAGTAATATTTGATTGCCTTTTGCTTGTCATTTTCAATATCAATTCTATGTTGTAATAATGCCTTATAATATAAATTTCATTAGTATTTCCTATATATACCAATTTTTTAATAATAAACAAATGCATTATATTTGTTTTTCTAAACTTTTATTTCATTTTAACAATAATATTTAACTTGATATGTCATATTATCAGACTTATATATATATTTTTCTGCTTATAATATATTGAGATACCATTATCTAAGTTTGTACATTACAGTATTATTTTCATTTTAGTTAATTTTTGATAATATTCAAATGTCTTATATTAACTCTTATTTTGTATTAATAGTAATATGAATTGTTTATAAATTAAAAAAAAGAACTGTACAACCTTCATACAATAAGCCTAAATATTATTTTTTTTCAAAAAAGATATATTACAAAAGCAGTAGATCAGGCCCATCATGTTAACTTTTCATAGTCTCACAAATTAGAAATAAGTAATTAGCAAACTATATACTTGAAAATTTAGAAAAAATTGATCATCTAATTTTATTAGATGATTTAATCCAAAAAAGAATAGTAAATTTAATTACTTTTTATTACTGTTCTACTATCATTAAAGTAGAACCCACCTTAAAATAAATAAAAATATTGAAATTTTAGTATCTACTATTTACTGAATATTTTGAAATTATAGTTTAGTATTAGGAATAAAAAAAAAACTTTATCTAAGTGATAGTTATCAAAAAACATGATTTGTTTCTGTAAAAAAATATGAAAAATAGATTATCAAAAATTGATCTAAGATAATTGATTAGATAAATCAAAGTTCCAAATTTTTAGATCAGATAATAAACAATACTATTGAAAATATTATGAAGAACTGTTAAATCAATTCTGTTAAGTCCATTATGAAATATGATGACAGATTGATTATGATTTAAGATTACTTTATTTCTTATGATGTTAACAACTATTATAAGATAAAGGTATGATGAATACAGATCTGTACCTAAAAATATTCTGTAAAAATTTAATATGAATGATTGAGAATCATAGATTTAAAGTTGATAAAGTTGTTTTTAAACAAAATGAAACATCTTGTTATATGACAACCTTGATCAAATAATAGCTTACAAAGAAGAAAATAAAGTTTTTTGACTGACCTTCCAATCAGCCAATCTAAACCTGATCAAATACCTCCCTGACCAAATTTCAAGTGAAAAAAATCTCTGAGAAAAAATTCAGATGGTTTGGCAGGCAATCAATGTTGAAACCTACATAAGGTTAATTCATTCAATGTCAGAATGAATTCATAATGTAATTAGAGCCTGAGGCAGTTTACCAGATGGTAATAGCTAAAAATTTTTAAAAAATACTCCTCATTTTTTTTATATAAAAAAAAAATTTTTTATTTTACAATTGTGTTGCTGTTAAAATGAGCAAAAATAATGCAACACATATATTGAAATAAAGCTCGTGCCCCCCAAAAATTTTGATCACTAAATTTTTAAATATTTTTTATTAATGATAATATTGCTATTTGCGAATAAAATAAAAAAAAAATTTAACATATACGCCCGGAATTGCGTGAGATAATACGATCCGACTAAATTTTTTTTTTTTGTTGCATTATTTATGATCGCCAGTGTAGGTAAATGTCTTGTATTCATCAATTTCAGCACCTATCCCATGAGATAACAATTTCCGACTTGATATGTCGCATCAACATTTTTCAAATTAGCAGATTTTTGATAATGAACAAATGCCTCATTTTCATCTTTTTCAATACCTATTCCATTTTGATAGCAATAGCCAACTTGATATACTGCATTTATATTTCCCATCTCAACAAATTTTTGATACTATTGAATGCCTGATGTTCATATATTCCCTCAGCATCATTTGTACTAGCAGATTTTTGATAATATTTGAATGCTTTAAGTTCATTTTTTCTGACACCTATTCCATTTAGATAACAATACCAAATTTGATTTATCGAGGCAACATTTCCACTGGTAGCTGATTTTTGATAATATTCCAATGCCTTATGCTCATCTTTTACAACTCCAATTCCATTGAGATAACAATTTCCAACTTGATTTAACGCAACAGCCTTACCCGCATAAATTGATCTTTGATAATTTTCGAATGCTTTGTGTTCATCTTTTCAACTCCAATTCCGTTAAGATAACAGTGCCCAACTTGATTTATCGCATCAACATTTCCAATATCAGCCTATTTTTGATAATGAACAAATGCTTTACAATCATCTTTTTCAATTTCCATCCCATTTTGATAAAAATAACATACCAGTACATTCCGCTAGCATTTCCTATAGCTCTATGTTTATCTTTTTCAACTCCTATTCCTTTGAGATAGCAATAAACAACTCCATATATTCAAACAGTATCAGCAGATTTTTGAAAATAGAAAAAATGTCTTATGTTCATCTTTTTCAACACCTATCCCATTGAGGTAATAACATTTTCCAACTTGACATATTGCAGTGGCATTTCCCATCTTAACAGATTTTTGATAATAAGTGAATGCCTTATATTTTTCAACCCCCATTCCATTTTGGTAACAATATCCAACTTGAAATATTGCATTACTATTTCCCGTATCAGAAGATTTTTGGTAATAAACAAATGCAATATGTACATCTTTTTTAATACTAATTCCATTCTGATAATTATATCATATATTGAAATACTTTGACGAATTTTCTTAGTACATTTTTTTAAAAAAAAATATGAAAAAGAAAACCGATTTGTTTATTTATTATCGGAAGCAATATTGATGTCATTAGACAAATCCATATGAACGATCAGGGATTGTGAACAGATTACAGAATAAATAATAGTCATTATTATCTAATCTGGGCCATATAAGATACTGTCACGGGGAAATGGGGCGAATCCAAGGATGGAGCCAATGCGACGAATTGTCGCTTCAAAATCGTCAACATCACGTAACATTACTTGAAAGCAAGACGAGGTGGATACAATTTGGCAATGGCTAAGGCGGCTTTCGAGCAAGTTACCGGGTAAGTATAAGGGCTTTTCTTTAAAAGAACGTATGTGTCTCTTGACACTTTTTATGATTTATAACTGATTTAATTTTAATTAATTTATTATAATTTCCTTTAATTTACAGGAGTAAAAGGACCGGGGGGTCATCTCCCACTTAACATCAAAAACGAAGGGCTTTTATAACGAATTATCAGGGAAGTATGCTTGAGAACATTCTCCCTTTCTTGCATTAATGTTTCCTTTTCTGTTAATTGTACAATCCAATCTTTTGACTCATGATCCCATCTTTTAATTACCTTCTCTATTTCGTAGGTCCCACTGTTAGAGCTACAGCCGCATCTCCCAAAACGTCTTTGCGGGTTGAAGGCTCTGTTGTAAGCCCGTGAAAGTATCACACCTTTTCCTTGTTGCGTGTCGTGGTGGTTCTACTAAGTCTTTCTTCCTTTTTAGGTTTAGCGACAATTGTCGCATGTAGGGCTCAGGCTTACAATCTTGGGTGCCTTGTTCCGAATCTTAGGGCTTCTCTTGCATACAATGGGGAGAAATCGGGTTACACGATCGCTGGTTTTGGGTCACGATCCAACTTGCGTTTCTGGTCATGTTTTCGGTCACGTTTTCGACGATCATTACGCAATGGCTCTAACCGGATTTCCCTCTAACAATACATAGTAAAATGGAAAATTGGTCGTCAAGATGGCTTGGCTCGAATTTGTCAACTCTGTCATATAATGACTTAATTCTAATAAAGAGCATTGTTGGTCTTGATTATTAAATTTTTTTCAAATGATTCTATTGTGAAATACCAGGAACGGAGTATTATGTGTAGCATAACATAAAGAGGACAGCATTTTTTGGCATGTAGGTACGTACGTACGTATGCAAAATCTTAATTCGTTTACATAATAGGAGTAAAGTATGTTTTTTGAAAAGCTTGTCAACAAAGTGACAGAGTGATCATTATTGCGAGATCAAAGAACTTAGATCACGAGGAAATATATTGTTTAACCTTTTATGGAATAGTTGAAATTAGTTAATAGTTCGCTAGTTCTAAGCAGGTTTTTCGTGATGTAGCGGCCTGATTGCATATGATGATATTATGGTTATTAGTTTATGGTAAGTCATTGTTATCAAGTAAGGAGTATGGGTCTCCTATGTGGGCGTGAGACGCCTTTGTCCAATAAATGATTATTTAAAGGTTTTGAAGGTTGTTAGTAGATTATCTTTTCTTTTCGCTATCACTCGCTTTGTGTTAAGGCTGGCTCTATCGTTTACTACTGTATCATCTAACTATATAAAAGAGAAATAAATAAATAATAAAAAAAAAAAAAAATAAAAATAAATAAATAAACTATTGTAAATAAAATTCAGTCCTATTTTTTCTGCGATAAATTTTGGTACTCCCATATGTCGGGTATAGGCTGGTCTAAGTTGACGTTAAATGAATTAAAAGACTTGTGTATGTCATGCAGTTTATCTAGTGTAGGGAATAAGGAGGACCTTAGTGATAGGTTCCAGGCATATTTCGGGAAGAATAAAGGAAAGGCTACAGACAAGAGTGAAGTAGAGGATGATGAAGATTTGGATGACATTATCGAAGTACCCAGAATTGATGCGGATGAAAGGAATTGGGATAATGGAAGGGATGCTGACCTTGAGTTGGATGACATGCGTGCATATTCACAGGAAGCAGACAATAGGATTAAAGATGAGTTAGTAGGTCATTCCCAAGGAAGAGAGAAGGCAGAACAAATAACAGTTGATATGTTTCTGTCAGCGATGGGTAAAATTGAAATGAAGATGGAAAGAAATTTTTCTGCTCTACATAGAGAAATAGAGGAGTGTGATTTATTGGATGAAGCATAGCCCAAGGTTAGCTTGTCAAAGCCACGGGATCAACACGAGTATGATTTCTTGGCGAAAATTGGCAAACGTTTAGACAAAGCAATAAAAGTAGTACCAATGGCTAATAAAAAAGACTTTGATAATATTAGAGATGAAATCGAAGCCCGGGCAGCTACACTAAGGTTGGCGGATAATAAGGGTTGGGGTACAGCATTACAGATAGTCGGGAGTAATGACAAAATGATGGAAAAATACAAGGATCATATTCCATTATTTAGCCATTCAGGTGCGGCCTCACGCTATTTTAATCGGAATAAGTCTAGTAAGGCATATAGGCATAAGAGGAAAAGATATTCTTCACCTTCGTCTGATTCAGAAAGAGATGAAAGTCATAAGGATAAAAAAAGATATGATAGAAGCTTTCAATCCTTTCGTGACAGAGGAGCCTTTAGGTTTTCAGAATGTAAAGGAGTCTTTAACTGCTTCAACTGTGGAGGCCTTGGTCACATCGCCTCCAGCTGCCCTTCCACAGGTTCTAGAGCCACCACCAAGTCAAAGAATGGAGACTAACCACACTCGGACCCCATTCTTAGAAGATTGTCTAGTGTCAGGTCTGAGGGAGCCAGAAAGTCGAATGTCAGTGGTGGGAAGGATGCAGTCAGCAGAAGCATTGAGTTATTGGCAAGACAAAATAAGACCATCATCAGTAGTAGTAAGTTGGTTAAAGAATGGGGTTCCATTGTTTCCAAGAGGAGTTCTTTTACTTGCAGCACAACAAACCCCAAAACAGTACACATTATCAAAGAACCAAGAGGAATGGGTACAAAGAGAGTTGGATCGTTTGCTAGCATCCTCAGCAATAAGAACATTAGGAAATCAAGTAGAAAGACCTACATTCCTTCTGGAAGTAAGTTCTGTCTTTTTGGTGCCCAAAAAGGGGCCCAAAAAATGGAGGATGGTCATAGACTTAAGGCGTCTGAACACCACCTTACCCGAAAAGAAAGTAAAGTTGGAAGGTCTTGGAGGTCTTCTGCACACAGTAGATATAGGCTGGTATGTGATTACATGGGACCTAATGGATGGTTACCATCATGTAATAATAGAAAAGAGCGCACAATGGTTTCTTGGATTCCAAGTATTGGGGAGTTGATATTATTACAAAATTCTCTCTTTCGGTTTGTCACAAGCTGTTTGGATCTTCTCCAAAATAATGAGAGCAATTGTAAGACATTGGAGATCACTAGGGCTGTTCTGTGAAAATTATTTAGACGATTTTTGGGTTGCACATCCTTCGTTAGATATCTTGATAATGATAAGAGATCAGATGATAAAAAAAGATCTAAAGAGATGTGGGTTGGTAAGAGAAGTATCAAAGGGGCAGTGGAAACCGTCACAGCAAGTAAAATTTTTTGGATTAATAATCAATATGGTGAAAGCGAAAGTAATAGTTCCAGATACAAAGATCTTAGAAATAAGGACATTGATGTTAGAGCTTATAAAGAAAGAGAAGATATCAGTACGCAACTTGGCAGCAAAGGCAGGAAAAATACAGTCTTTAAGCAGAGCCTTTGCTCATGCCAAGGTTCGATGTCTGGAGTTTTTCACAATAATAGATGCAGCCAACAGAGGTTGTTGGCAATGGGATTCGTTAGTGGAGTTGACAAAGCAAGCAAAGGAGGATGCCAAATGGGTGGTCCAAAATTTAAAGAAACAGAATGGTCATCCTGCTTGGAAACTATCAAAAGTAAAACAGATCTTCATAGATGCATCAACAATCAGGTGGTCTGCAGTTTACAGAGAACATCATGCATTCGGGAATTGGAGTTCAAAAAGATCATACAGGGAGATTACAAGACTAGAGGCAGAGGCAGTAATTCTGGGAATAAGATCCTTTGCAATAATGCTTCAACATTCCTGAATCGATCTACATATAGACAATCGAGAAGCAATAGGAACAGTTTTAAAAGGAGGAAGTTTACCTTGGCAAAAGGATTTACTAAGAAGGTTGTGGGAGTTATTGGACGAGTTCGACATTTAGATCAGCGAAGTCTTTTGGGTGCCCTCAGAGTTAAACCCAGCAGACTCCCTAACCAGATATGTAGACCCAAACAATTAGTGTCTAAATCAGTTAGTTTTTATAATGTTGGAAGACAGATGGGGTCCTCATACTATCGATCGAATGGCAGACAATCAGAACACCAAAATGAAGCATTTCAACAGCAGGTTTTATTGCCCGAACTCAGAAGGAGTAAACTGTTTTACTCAGAGCTGGTCCAGAGAAAACAATTATGTTTGTCCCTCATTAGCTCTAATCCATCGCGTTCTTCAACACATAAGAGAAGAAAAGACTATAGCAACTATAATCGTTCCAAAATGGGTGTCAGCAGAGTGGTGGCCAATGTTAATGTATATGACAATAGATATGTTGCTTCTGCCTCCAGTTCAGGTTTCATTTACCAAAGGAATTTCAGGAGAGGTGGAACCATGGAGAAACCTAAATTGGCAGTTTGTGGCAGCAAGAATAGGTTAGTAAAAATGCTGTTGGCTAAAGCACAAACTTTAGGTAAAAAAGCAGTATCAGATAGTTGGAATAAGCAACTAGACAAGGCATGGGATGTGTATAAAGATTTCTGTAAAGTTATGAATTTGAAAGTACTTCCATCTGAAGTTGATACATTGGTATCTTTCATTGTTTGGTTAGATTTAACTCAGTCAATTTCAGGTTGTATGGATGTTCTAACAGCAGTTTCAAGAACACATCTTGAAACCCAGCTTACAGATCCATCCAAGGAATATAGAGTTAAGAGAGTTTATAGAACACTGTTAAAGGATCATAGAAAGGCTAAAGACCCAAACTGGCCTCGTGATCCTTTAACAGTAGCTGCCTTAAAGTTTTTTGTTGACAAGAAACCACAACTAATCAGTGATTATTTTTGGATACGCGATGCTGCATTGATAGCTATTGGCTTGAGAACTATGCGCCGTCCTGGTGAACTTTGTAGTCTAAAGCTTAAAGATATTAAGTTTGGAGAAAAACTGTTTTGGGTTCATATAAGTTCATCCAAGACAGATCAATTTGCCAATAGAAAATTTATTCCGATAGAATATTCAAATAGTAAATATTGTCCAGTCAGGCTATTAAGAAGATACCTGGCAATTAGGCCAAGAACATCAGATGATAGGCCACTTTTCCTGTCTAGAAGCAAAGTACAGTTGTCAGTAGGGGTAGTAGGTGCCATTGTCAAGAGAATCGCAGAGAATGCAGGCCTCCAAGGAAGATTCACTGCTCATAGCATTAGAATAGGAGGTGCTACAGCAGCAATGGAGGCTGGTATGTCATTAGCACAAATTCAAGCCATAGCAGGATGGGACAGTAAATCAGTTATGCTATATCTGAGGACTGTGGGCATGGCAAACTTAATGTTTTCAAAGAAAATGGGGTTTTAATATTGTCGATCCTCTTTTAGTCCCCATATGTTTTTTCATCTAATTAGTAATAAAGATAAGTCTCTGATCGAGCAATAATAATGAAAAGCTTGTCAACGAAGTGACAGAGCGATCATTATTGCGAGATCAAAGGACTTAGATCACGAGGAAATATATTGTTTAACCTTTTATAGAATAGTTGAAATTAGTTAATAGTTCGCTAGTTCTAAGCAGGTTTTTCGTGATGTAGCAGCCTGATTGCATATGATGATATTATGGTTATTAGTTTACGGTAAGTCATTGTTATCAAGTAAGGAGTATGGGTCTCCTATGTGGGCGTGAGACGCCTTTGTCCAATAAATGGTTATTTAAAGGTTTTGAAGGTTGTTAGTAGATTATCTTTTCTTTTCGCTATCACTCGCCTTGTGTTAAGGCTGGCTCTATCCCCCCACTCCCTCCCTAATGTCATTTCTGTTCTTTCTGTTCCTTTAGCAGTTGCTTAAAATTTTGGTTAGTAAGCTCTGTATTGGTAAAGAGAGGCTCTGCGGCTGTTCAGACAGTGCAAGGACCTCTTAGTTAGGCTCTGCAGCTGCTTTGGCAGTGCAAGGACCTCTTAGTTAAACTCCACAGCTGCTTCGGCAGTGCAAGGACCTGTTAGTTAGGCTCCATGGCTGCTTTGGCAGTGCAAGGACCTTATAATCGAGCTCCACGGCTGCATTGGCAGTTCAAGAACCTGTGCAGTACATATTTAAGGCGTTTGAAATACCCGATTCTCTTTTTTTTTGCTATAAAGGCCTACGATAATTATGGACTTAAACGTTTAGATTTTATAATATATGTCTAGAGTAGTGGGCTTGAGATTACGTGTTTCCTTAGTAGATTAAATGGTACAGTAGTGCCTTGGGATGACAGACACATTTAGATTTTCTATACTGAATGACCAGCGTAGCGAGTTTGTGGTTACGCATTTTCTTAGTCCAATTATATGGTACAGTAGGGTCTTGAGATAGCGGACCTATCCCCATATGTTTTTTCATCTAATTAGTAATAAAGATAAGTCTCTGATCGAGCAATAATAATGTGCTTAAACTTCACATGTTGCTGCTTCATATAATATGTTAATTTTTTTGACAATCTTTAGCTTGATTAGTTTGTAAATGTGGCGGAGTAAACATTGCAATATCATATGGCTCTATTGAAGTTTTACGCTGTACTTGACTTCATTAAGGGTGTTTTCAAGCTTCAACCTCGATGTGATTGGCTCGCGATCTTAATCGTGCACAACTATAATTATATTTACGTATAATGAAACGAATAAGCAAATTAAGAAGCAATAAAAGTTTGCTCAAACGTTATTCTCTATGCGATTAGCTAATAAATGTGACGATGCTCATTTACTATAATCAATCAAAATAAGAACTGCAATTGATGCTTTAGCAATACACTAATATTTTATCAAATGCCGTTATACCTACGTTTATTTCGTTGATATTCTGTCGTTACATGATAAGGTTACTGATAAAATGATAAACTCACGCATTGTCTTTTGATTAGAAAAATATAATAAACTTTATTAAATTACGATGTTTATTTAAATATTCATTACGATGTTAAACACATCTGACCTCCTTAAAAATATTTTCCGCTAAGTAAAATTTATTCTCCGACGCTTTTTGTCTCGTTGATTAAGGCGCTTGAGAACGCCCTAAAAGCAATTCGATTGACTTGCTAGTACATACATACAATCACAGGAACATTGAGGCACCAGAATTAGCGCTAAAGTTAAAGTTGGGTCTTATATTGGCCTTCGCATTTTGTACCAGTACGATGTAATAATTGAGACGGTGATTATCACTTCTCATAATACTCTCGGGAGGGGAGAGGGGAAAAATGAAACAGTCGTATACAGTAAAATAAACAAATTTTAAAGTAGCATTGCTAAGGCCGGATCAATTTATTCTTCGTTTTAACATAATCCCCATTTTTCAAAATCTTATGAAAAATTGCACATTACATTAATCAATCAAATCGCAGTATTAGCTTTTTATAAATTTCATATTTTTACAGCAAATAGAATTGCATCTCCCTCCTAGGGTCGGAAATTTTCTGAAATCAAAATTACATCATCTGAATAATTTTTTTTATAACGCTGGCACTAAAAATAAATAAAAATTACAATTCCGAACATAATAATGGATATCTATTAATGCTGGTAAAATTATTATGGACATGGCCTATTCTCTGTAAAGTTACATAACAATTTTGTAAGTTACAATGTAATTTACATGAAACGTAACAAAGTAATTTAAGTAATACATCTCTACTCCATCCCATTTATTTAATGTTATGTTAAATGAAGAATCAATCTGAAGTAGCTTGATTAGTCCAGACTAAGGATGGCTCCGAAAGTATTTGGCGTGCCGAAATACTTTCAGTAAGTTCGACTTACTGAAAGTACAAATCCTAAAATCGAAACTCTTAACCGAAAGTCAAAATCTTTTCGTAAGTCTTGACGAGAGCTTTACAGAAAGTCCTACCGAAAGTCAAAATTCTATTTTCACCCGAGTGAAAGTCTTCTGACTTGTGATTTGATCATGTCACTTGGCACAAACTTCGAAAAGGGTTACTGTAAGTTACCATGTAAGTAATCTATGTTTTATTCCGAAAGTCTTCATGCTTCATGTCCATTATTTGCCTACCATTACGAAATTTTCTGATAGTGTTCTCACTTTCAAATGAGTAATTTACGCAGTAACTTGCCACAGTAAGGTACCCTGACCGACACAGCAAACATGTGACTATCTACACAGCAAAATGGCCAGCATTAAATTAATCAACACAGTATGACCGGCATTATAATTAAGGTTAGAATTAGATTCTGGTAGAATTAGTCATTTATTTGCTGTGTCGGTATAATTGGACAAATTTAAGAGAACGCTACGACGGAGTAAAATCCCAACCCAAAAGTTTTGAAAATCATGTGATATTGTCAATACATATTCATTAAATATTAACATAATTGATTTAGTAAGGGATTTTTTTTCATCGATTCTTTAAAGTGAAAAGCGATCGTTAAAATATATGTTAATTGCCGTAACCAAATTTCCACTAACAATAAACGAAAAAGAATGCAATTGCACCAGAAAATTTTGTATATTTTATTTTTAATACTCTTCCGGAAGATTATAACTCTAATTATTTATTTGAATCCGCAACAACAAAAAATTATTGAAGAAAACATAATGAATCCAAATAGTGACAAATGGTCGATGGTATTAATAAAAAACGACAGTTGATCTCTCACAAAACATTAAGCAAACATTCCTCCCTAATGTGACTTAATCCTAACCCTAGATTTAATTGGATAAAAATCATGAGGGGAGGATTTTTTGTGCCATTAAATAAATTAGAGAATTATAGTCATTTTAAAAGGCAATAGAATATTCCAAATACTTAGAAAAAACCGTAATCATGTAACTTTCTGGCTGTAATAAATATTATTTTTCGAAATAACTAAAAGATTAATTTATTACTTATCGTTATTAATCTAAACTTTTTTGGTTGTATTTTTTTTGTTAAGTTACATGAATTTTTAGTGCTCGATATATTTGTCACATGATGATTAGTGTTGATTAGAGGTAGTTTGTTGATGTATCTTACAAAAACCTTAATTATGTAGGTACATAACTTAGTCAATAAACATTAAAACATCATGATTTTATTTAAAAGCGGACAAGTAAGTTAGTGATTTGCACAGTGATTTCAATAAAGGGCGTTGGTGATTTTAAAAGTTGGTTAATGATTTGAACATCTAGTGAGTTTACTGTCTCAATAGTAGATCAGTCCCTTTAATATTGATAAGTTAATTTTAGTGATGGGTAAATTAGTAGTTTAAACAATAAGTAAAGATTTTAACAAGTGAATTCGAGATTTTGTAGTGTAAGTTCGTGACTTGGCAGCGACTTCAACTGGGTGTTCGTTTTAGCAGTGCAGTTCCGTGGCTTTGACTAATGATTTTAATAGTGGATGAAGAATATGCATGATGCGACAATTATGACAATCGGAAATTACGCACATCATTTCTTTCTTGACTAAGTTATACACTTCATTTCTGATATAGGTGATGATTATGAAGTAATATATTTTTTATACTATACAAGCATCAGCCACATTAGTTTGCGACATGCCTAGTGTTGTCTCGGAAATCGGCGAGTCTGTCGCTAAACTATTCCAACTCTCGTGTAACCTACGGCGGCTAAGTCGAAACAGGCG